GTTGGGTTTCTCTATGTTAATATTGTTTTAAGGTCTTGACCTTTAAATGTAAAGTGCCTTGAGATAATGTAAATTATGAATTGGCGCTATATAAATAAAATTGAATTGAATTGAATTGGTGTGCTATCATTGTTAAAAATTTGGTTAACAAAAGAGTAGAAACTGCTTTCCAGCACAACACAGCAATTACTTTTGCGTGACTCGCTCGCTAACTTCTGGCTTTTATCTTCAGAGCTGTATGCAACTTTAAAAATGTATTTATTGATGCCTGGACGTCCAGACATTAAGAGAATTTCAACAAATAATAGTGATTCAGAATTTCACAATTTACTAACTCTCCCTTCAATGAATGCTCCCCATGCATTAGTTTTAATAAGGTGGACCTAATAAACTGTCAACTGCTTGTAACAGTGATGTTACAGCAATTCAACAGGCATCAAACAGCTCCCTCAGAGACACCGTTACTGTGCTATTTGTTGTCAAATAAACTTCCTTGCCCACAGAATGTAGGGTCAATTTTATGTCATCTTGCAAAACAAGTTCAGTGCATCTGAGGGCACATGCTCAGACGTGAAGACACAGACTAAGAGTATGGTTTATAAACTATGCAAAAATATTTCTATCTCTCATTTACAAAAGTATTTTACTGACTTTTGCTGACTACAAGGAGTGATGTCTTTACCTAATCTTGGAGACATGAATAAAACTTGACTGGAGTCCACCTGTGGCAAACATTGGTAGGAATTAATTCAGAAAGATACACCTGTCACCTGTGTATATAAAGTACCGCTTATTCATGGTACATGTCAGGGCAAATAGGCCATGAAATCCAAACAGCTTTCAGTAGATCTCCACAGTAAAATTGTGACATAAAGCTTTGAGAAAAAGAATTTGGAACCAGCAGAGCACATGATAGAGTTGTGCCACAGCCAAACTGAGTAACCAGGCAAAAAGGGGGTGTCCAGGGGGGTTGTTGAAAGTGAAATTAGGACTGAGCATTGACTGTCTTTGACTAGCCCATGCAGCCAAAGCTAAGACTTAAACCCTGTAAAACATATGTGGAGAGACCTGAAGATGGTAGTTCATGGACCCTTCCAATTTAACTTGAAATGGAATGGATGAAACTTCTATAAAATCTGGAAAGAAGAAAGGGACAAACTGCTCAACTTCAGCAGTACCACATCTGTAAGCCTGCTGAATCTATCTACCATTTTCAAAAACTATGTCCGTCTGTATGTTTGGTGGACACATATCTTGAACACCATTCATCTTCATGCTTGACATGTTAAGGGCCCAAGGACATGCAGTTTCGAATTTTGTGTGATTTGGACAGGTGACTTGTTATACTTCAAATCAACAGGTGGCCAGCACTCTGTAGCAGTGGTGGCTGGAACTCAACTTAAATGATGGGGAAAAAAAACTATTATCTATTTGAAACGACTAGACATTAATTGCAAAAAAAAGTGAGGAAATGTATTAAAAAAAGTTGACGTTTGTGTTGATTTAGAAAATAAGGTGTTTATATTTAGAAATATATCATACATTTTTGTATTTTTATTAAAACCCAGGCAATCTATTAGCCAGAATTTTTAAATTTAAAACAACACCCTACTCAAAATATGTGCAAATAACATTTTATGGTGCTAATGTGTTTCAATGAGATGTGCTTTACTATTTGTTTTGTTAAGTCTGATACGTATAGAAATGTATGTCCTTTCTGTGTAATAAGAGCCCCATTAAAATTAAAAAGAGTGAAATTGTGTCCAAAAAAAAAAGTATCCCGAAAGAATCTGATTCGCTTTTATTATATGTTTGTTTGAATCTGTGTGATAGGAGGGACTGTCTGAGCTTGGGGTTACAGTGAGAACGTACTGCAGCCAGCAGGTTAAATAAGGAACTGCAGTGGTTATGTGTTCAAACCTCAACTGGAAATTTCAAAAAGTTGCCTCTAATAATAATATATGAGGCTGCACAGTTACTTAAACCATGGACTTGTCCTGTGCCACTACTATAAACCCAACTACAAAAAGCAGAGATAATCTGTATCATTACAAATGGTAATGAATTCAGTTTTTATGTACTGCGGCCCCTGAGGACAAATCACATACAAAAGCAAAAGCACATTCAGGAAACACCTAAAGTTTTCTCCATTCGGGAGAGTAACCCCTTAGATTTGAAAATTTGATCAGTTAACCCAAATAAGATCCACCAAGCAACGTCTCCACATGGTTACTGCTGAAACAAGGACATAAAATGGAAACTGTGACAAAGTAGACATTTCTGTCATTTCTCTTGAGTTTTTCAGTTAAATCCAAATCTAAAGCAAATCTTACACTGCTAGCCACATGCATAAAATACATGGACATCCTTTTGACTGGAGAAATCATCTAGTATGCAGAATGTCAAAGGTGCAAACATTTTGGATCCAGTGTTAAATTTAGACCTCTAGTTCAATGTGGAGAGGAAAGAGTAAAGAGTGCAAAATCCAAAATAAAAGACTGAACCAGACTAGGTACTTACAGGTATAGGAGATGCGTCTTCTCCAGCCCAGGCAGTCAAGTCCGATGGGAGTGCTCTGAGAGAAGCAGTGGGCTTTAAGTGGCATCCCACTGAAAGCCTTGATGGGCCCTGAGGTGACTCCAGAATCAGTCTGTGTAAATGGAAGAGGATTGGTTTCAATCAGTTTTATCACTGGCATTCTGGCTAATGAATACCTGGACATAAACAAGTAGAACATAATCACTTATTCAATATAACTGAGTGAGAAGTAGAGAAAATATACAAGATTAACTGGCATGCATGAATTAAGGGCAGAAGAAAAGAGAAAATAGATTAGGTCATGCATGAAACAGAAATTAAAGTGAGGACAGAAATGTGTAAGCTTCATATCCAAGAAAAACCACCAGAAGCTACCAGAGAGAAACAGACCTGTCCAGGAAAACCAGACTCTCAAAAGAAAGGCAAAGTAGGAAGAAAATGAAGATTACAAAGATTTCCAATGTTTGGATCTTTGTTTTGGCAGCTCACAGCAATGTGACCACATCTTACTTTGTCCATGTCTTCACATATCAGTGTGTTGAGCTGGCCAAGGCTTCCTCTGATGGCTCTGGCCAATTTGCGTTTGTATTTCTTTTGCTCTTCAATCCAGAGGTCATCTGAACAGTTTTGCCTTCGTTGGCGGCCACTTCTTTCATGGCCCACATCCACCCAGCAGCCATTCCTCAGCCTGCCAAGAACCATAGAGGCCTTCCCTTCGCTCTCCACCTCCAACAGCTTTCTTGTTCTGGACTGACTGGCAGGCCGACCACCATTTTGTGTGCCCTTTTGAGTGTACAGTTAACTAGTTAGTCACAGTCTTCTTTTTTCTATCCTTTCTACTCCCTTTGTGACCCCTGGTATAGTGCACAGCTCTGGTTAAGTTGTGATCATAACTTTGAATAGACGAAAAGCATGCTAAAACTTAACAGACACTTGTATTCACTGAAATAATGCTGGTAAGTGAAGTCTGTGATGATCCTAACAGCTTTAGTCTCATAATCCTGCCATTAAGTTGTTTTTTGATAACATATTACATGCAGGGTGCTCACTCACAAATACCTGTGGCACACCTGTGGAGCAGCGGCTTCACCAGAAAATTATTATTGAGGGGGCAATGGGGGGACCTGATTGTTTCTAGGAGGTGCTAGTGAATTCTGACCCAACAAACACCAACAAATAATACTATCATAGATATAGATTTACTGTTCCCAGGCTCATACACTACATATTGTGAAATGCATGTTACTAAATGTTTATCATAGAACAACACAAGCATATTTAACAACTTGTATTTAATGAAGGAACAAAAACCAAACAAATATTTTGAGGGGAGGGGGGGCAAAGAGGGGGGCGCAGCCTTTGACAGGAGGGGCTTAAGACCCTGCTTGCCCCCCCCCCCCCCCCCCTGGCACCGCCACTGCTGTGGAGGTTCAAAAATAGAAATAGAAATAACTGAAAATGTGGTTTCATGACTCCCCTCAAATCTGCAGTGTCTCCCCTACACTCTTCCTCTGTGGCACTGCCTTTTTTAAATGCATGATTTATAACAATTGTGTTTCATATTAGATTAAGTGAACATATTCATCCAAAATTATCCATCAAAATCATCCAAAAGTAATAGTAAGTTACCAAGTGTTCTTTTTTGTCACATTACATTGCAACGTAGTGGGAAATGTCATCAGCTTCAACATGCAGTGTCAGGTATGAGATATATAAATATGCCTCTTTGCAGTAGTCTAGGGCTGTCAGTCAATCAAACATTAGATAACCAAACAACTTGTTTTGATTAGTCTACTTAGTCTACAAAACGTAAAGATATAGTGCTCTGAGAGGGTTCCAAATGGGGGGAAATGTGTTGAATTAGCCTGCATCTGCATATTCTATTTTGTGTCATGTGGGATGCAAGCCACAAGGGGGGGTTGTCCTCAAATTATCCTGTTGTGACTGTGTATAATAGGACTACTGTATTGTAGGAACTGGTAGGGTGAAAGGATGATGGCAGCCTGTTGACTCTAGAAGTTGAGAGGGAGAAAGAGTTGACACTGCTGTTTCTCTACCCCATTTCATCCTCTGCACAGAGAGCCACAAAGAAAGAGGGGCTTGTTCTCAGACACCCAGACACAGACAGATAAAGATACACTGGCAACCACCCTAAGACACATATTAACACAAATACCATTCACTTCAGAGCAAGAGATTAACTGGTCTTTTTTTTCTCTTTTCTTTTCCTTCAAAGTGAGTTAGTGTGGGTAAGTTGCAGGTGGAAAAGAAACTCTTTTCCAGAAGAGCTGGAACTTCGCTGGCATCTTGAACAAGGCCTGGTCATTCTACCTTAGAGGTGTTTAACATACAAAAAGCAGGCGTATTTACATATAAACACAATCATCAGAAATTTGAATGTGATCCCAGGAAAACATTTGCTCTCATCATTAAAAACTGTAAGATTTTCGTTGCACATTTCTTTTGAATAAATCTGATTTCTTCTTACCTCTAATTCACTGATGAAGCCAAAGGCATACAGGCTGATGTGTGACTGGCTGTCTATGCTGTGCTCTTCTGTATCCAGAATGCTGAGGTTGACACTTAAAGGGCTAGTTGAGGGTTTTAGGGTTTTAGGTCTCTGAGGGGGGTCTGTCAGCCCTTCCACGCTGACAGACTGACCCAGAAGAATAGGACACATAGAACTGGCCCTTGATGAGTGTGGATAGCAGAAGTTTTTGCGTTGAGCTGTTGGCCTAGGACTGTTGGGTTTAGGGCTCATTGGCCGTAAGGGGCTTTCAGTCAAGACCTCACTAGCAACTGGGTGGGACCTACTCCAAGAATGTGAAGGCTGGTGGGTAAGGGCAGCTAGTGAGCTGGGGCTCAAAGGTGAAACAGGGCTGATGTGATTGGTATATGGAAATGCAGAGTCATTTGAAAATGGAGATAGGCCAGGCAAAGCATTTGATAAACACTTTCTTCTCTGGCCCTCAGATTTGCACCCATGGGGGCTTCCACTCCCTTGTGGAACTCCCCGTTTGGATATGGGATCTGTGTGGCGAAAGGTTCTGAGGGAGGATGGTGACCCTGGATTGCTAAGCCTGTCCAGGAGTGGAGAAGATATAAAGTGTCCAAGGTCTTGCCCAGTGTTGCTACATTCCTCATCTGGCACTGACAGAGTTCTTTTGAGCAGCTCAGCCTCCTTGGGCTTTTTTAGCTTCCTCCAGGATTGTTTGGCTTTACCAGAATCCACATCAATGCACACAGTGGCCTGCTCCTCATTCTCCTTATCCATGGAACGGGACTCAAACAGACTGGAAAGAGACCTGTGTGCTTGTGCAAAGCGCATACGAATGTTTAAACTGTCATTGCTCTTGCTCCTCTTGTAGTTTAGCCCATTAGGTGACTCAACTTCGCTGAGAAGGAGGCTGTCTGGGCTTGATCGTCCATTGTCCACCAGGCTACTCCCTTGGCCTATCAGATGACGGACATGGTGTGCATGTGGAGTAGAGGTGAAGAAGTCGCAGTTATCTTCATCTATCTCATAACCATCCGAGGGAATACCTTGGTGGACTGTTTGGTTGAGGATGTCACCTCTGACAAAAACCTCATCATCTGAGTTGTCCTTCCTTGGGCCTTGCTCAGACATAAGGTCATAACTTTCTCTATCTGGTGACTCCTGCTGAACATCTTCACTTCTACTACCCTTAGAGCCCTTAGCTTTCCTAAAAGAAGGCATTTTAGCAAAGACAGAAAATGTAGAGCCTTTATTTTCTGTCTGACATCCTTTTGTTTTTCTTCTCTTGATCATTTTGTTAAGATTGGCATTTGTGTCTGAAATATTGCAGTTGCTACTAGCTGAGGTGTAGCACACAGCATCATAGGCAACAGTCATAGGTCTGTAGTGCTTTTCGCTACTGCTGCTCAGGACAGGCGTAGCTGTCACTTCAGGCTCTACTTCAGCAGTGGCTAAGGATTTTTCCTTTTGCTCAGCCTGGTGTTGTGGAGCAGTGGGGCTGGATATGTTGCCTGAAAGGTAAACAATATCCCCATGTTCTTCAGCAGGCCTCATTATCTCATGTTCTTTTGTTTCTATTATTAAATCATCTACTGTTGAGCCACAGTTTTCCAGTAAACGCTCGGCCTCCCAAATTGGCTCTAAACTTCGGACAGCAAGTAGGTTGAGGCTTACATCAGGGTGTGAATATCTTACTACCTTCACCTCTTGCTGTGGAGCTGGCAAGCTCACCTGTGTGTTCCCTCTGCAATTGACAGCCAGTATATGTCGCTCTAATGATTCAGATGAGTAGCATCCTCTTGTATTAGGTAAGCTGTGATCCCCTGTTGGCTTGTCTTCTCTAAATAGAGAGTCCACATCTGAACTTGGCTTAGTGCCTTCATACCTTTTTGAGTTAGAATGCTTGAGCTTTAGTGTTTTTAAAACCACATTATTGTCAATATTATTCTCTGTCTTAGGTTTTTCTAGCTGATCTGCATGGACCAGGCTTGAATGGACATGGCTTTTACAGTTTTTTCCTTGCACAGATTCTGAGTCCTTATTGCTCCAGTTGAATCTGTGATCTAGTGAGGACAGTGACACCTCAGAATTTTCCTGGGGTCTGTCTACATCTCCCAAAAAGTCAAGGATCACATTTTCTGATGGCTCAACCAGTGGACAAATTATTTTGTCATTAGTGTTGCTGTGGGCTCGCCCCACACAAAAATCTATACCCTCCCCTCTCTGTATACCTTTTCTACTGCCCTTGCTGTTATTGTTAGAGTCTGAAAAAATAGAAGGTTTGGGGCTACTAAGCGTTTCAGGGATCTTCAGATCCAACTGACCTTGCTTACATTGACTAGAAAGTGTGCTGACAGTGGTTTGTATGTTTGTCTGAGAAACTGACTTTGGACCTACACATGGGTGTTCTCTGCTTCTGTACTCAATAGACTCACTCCCTCCAGGATGTGTTGGAGTCTCCCCTATCTTACAAGGCAAATGCTGTGAATAAAAGTAGACCTCAGGATCACTGGAAATGGCTTCTGGAATAACTCCCAGCTCACTGTATTCAGAGAGCTCTGTTTTGCCAAGTTTTGACTGTGAAAAACTGACTTTACTCTCTGTTTTACTCACTTGTTCCTGGTCAAGACAAACATAACTGTCCTCCCCCTCCCATTCCTTGGCTGGCCAGAGATAAGAGCAGGGTGATCCAACCCTCAACCATTCCTCTCTAAACTTCTCTGATAACAGAGAGGGGATCTCCTCTGCTTCTTGCTGGTCAGATAAAAACAGCAAATTATTTGAAAATGTGTGAGAAGTCAGGCATTTCTCTGACTCCTCAACAGTGTCAGGTTGGATTTGAGTTGAGTCAGGCACTGCTTCTATAGAGACTAACTGAGCCCTCTTCAAATGTTTGTCAACTACATGGAGCTGCTGGGGAAACGGTATTTCTGATTCAGCATGCCCCTGAACCAAGTTATTGGGGATTAAATCTTGGTTTTGACTTTGACTTTGCCATAGTTGTAACACCTGAGGGTGCTTTTGATCTTGTTCCTTCCCTGTGAACTCCTCCCTGTCTATGTCTACCAGTGGGACAGGTGAAGCTACTTTAGGATCTTTTGGAACAATAGTCTGCTCAGTGGCACAGGTATCCAAAGAGGTGGTAGTCTCTGTGGAAAATGTGATGGAGGAACAGATTTCATTTACTGTCCCAGGTGATATTGTCCCCTCTGCAACAGAGCCAACAAGCCCACACTGCTCCGCCTGGAAGCAGACACCTGACACCTTTGTCTTATCATGGGATTTTGTTACACCATTACAAACCTGAGGGTGGGTCTCCGACAGCCATCTGTTAAGGCTCTCCTCATGCTGAATTTGTGAACAGCCAACGTCAACCTTGTTTGCCAATACACTGATTTGTGTATTGAGTTTGCCAATGAGATTAGAGTTTGTGTTATTTGATACCCTATTTGTTTTCGTGCCATGTGCGTCTTTGACTTTTGGAATTGCTATGTTTTCTGGGATTATCTGAGAGTCTGAGTATTTTCTCTCAGATTGAGGGTGTGCTGGTGGACAAATACTGTCAGTTTTTTGTGCATTTATTCCATCTACAAAATTTGAATCTGCTAAGCTTGTGTAGTTGCTACATTTAGACTCTATTTTGTTAAGTGTTTGATTATTAAATATCCCCACACTCTTACACAAGCTCCTATTGTCACTGATTTCATTGATTATACTCTGATGTTGTCTATCTATAAAATCACTCTTGCATTTATTTAAACCTGGGTTTCTTTCTGCAACATTTGTACTGAGCTGTTCAATACTGTGTACTACATCCTGAAAATTGCTGATTTCTAGACTTTCCTGCTGTAGTTCTTGTTGTGTGTCCACAATCTGGTCATCTTTTGCATCTGTGTGTATCATACATGTTTTGAACTCTGTGGATTCATTCGGTCTATTGGATTTGTTTTTTTCTGGCTGTGCAAGGAGCTTTTCTTCCTGGGTGTCTAGTGGGGTATTTACCTTCTTATTGTGTTGGCTCAGTACATGTAAACTGTATGGCTCCGTGCAACCCTTGGGTTGAGTTTCTGTGGAAACAGACTGTAAACTGGACTGTTGTTCGAGCAAGTTGAGTTTTAATTTCTCTTTACTCGGATGGGGTTGGGTCTCAACTGAGCAGTGGTTTCTGGTGCTGAGCTCTAAGTTAATAGAGTCTGAATGGTTGTCTGGGCTTTTCCTTCTGCTACAACTGGTTTGTCCCAAAGATGTGTCTGTGGTATCTCTGTGGCTGTCCTTGGTGGTCAATAATTCTCTCCTTCGGGCTTTATTCTGCCCAGTCCGGGGGAAGCCGCCTGTTGCTCGATGATCATCGTAGGTATCTTCCAGTCCAAGAAAAGCAGCAACACAGTCCTCCCCGTCTGCAGTTAAATCCGACAAGGTGTCACTGTGCCATGAGCGAGAGTCAAAATACTCATCCGATGTGTCACCACCTCCTATACTTCTCTCGCACCATTCCAAGGAGTCAACACCCAAATCACCCTCCTCTAAGCCTAATCCTTCAGAGAGAAGGGGGGAGTCTTCAAGCGCTTCCTGTGGCTGTGGAGACAGTAAAGAAGGAGGGTGACATTTAGATCAGTTCAGTAATTACAGTGGACATAGCAAAATTCTAGATTGGACCTTAAAGCTAATCGTCATTAAGTTTTTTTTAAAGCAAATTATTGATTTTAACTCAAAGAGCTAGTCAATTAAAGTAATAAAAAAGTCCTAAAGATATGCAACAATATTCAAAAGGACATCTGACATTTAGTGCAGTGTTGATTGTTCAGACCTATTCAGGCTGACAATTATGTCAATGAAATTAAACAATTGAATCGATCATCAAGCTATAAGAGATACTAAGTAGAGTTCTGTGGTGCCTAGGAGAACACTGCAGTGTATCATATGAGCATTGATACGAGGCTTCAAAAACTGCAAATTGCTATTTATTCTCGAGTGTCTGTTTCATTCAGAAAGGTTAGTCAGATAGTTAGGTTGCTCTATGTGCATATTATCACAACCCTGTGTGTTGCTCTGTGCTTTGAATCATATTGTAGCGCATACATTGTTCAGACTACGATCTAAGGTCTCAGAAGGGGAGCTACATTGGCCTCCAAGCTGATTATGTGATGGTTTAGGTTCTTTGATTGAAGAGATATATGAACCATATAACCACCCACACTGTAGAATTATGTAGTACCGAACCAAAAATTCACTCAGTTGGTAATTACAAGCTTGACCAAACAATTAAATCAACAAAAAAGAGATATACTAGTATCTCAGCAAGGATTATTTTTCATTTTAGTCTGATTTTAAGAACTAATTTTATTATAATGTGTAACACTTGGACAGATGGACATGTGTAGTCAAAAAAACCAGTTTCTGAACAGAACAAATCATGTCACATTGTTGCTGCTTTGATAAACACAACAGTTAATGACATCAAGCAACAGTTTGCGCTCCCTTAAGCATGCACGAGCATGCACACACAAACACACACACACACACACACAATTCAAACCAGCACATATGAAATTCTTGAATTAAATCCTACAAAGCCGGCACTTTACTTACTCTCCAGTGTCTCAGTGCATCAGCTGTTTCCAGCAACAGAGCACAGACGCGAGCAGCAACCCAGCTCAGCACTGATCCCATGGCGTCTCTCACACATATGCTCACACACATAACCATACAGTTCAAACACTCTTCACAGGTTCTTCTTTTCCCTGGTACTCCATGTCCATAGCTTCCCCCTGTACTCCTCCTTTGTCGCTGTGTTTATCTTCCATGATCACCAATTGAGCTGGCTAAGAGTTTCAAGTCTTGATTACAGATCCACCCCTTTCTTCATGTACTTGCAGTTGATTGGCCTATACATAAACCTTCACAAAAGGTAACAGTATACACAGAAACATGCAGAACTTCCTTTTCTCGGCATGTTAAAGATGTAGTCCTTCGACAGAGCCCAGGGTTTAATCTAGCCTCAAAACAGCACGTACACGGTGATCTCAGTGTCTTAATAACAAGGGAAGACACTAAGAAGAGCTGCTATAAATAAAGAGCTACAACTTTAGGCAGTGCAGGGTGAATGACAAGACAGCTCAAGGACAAGTTACCTTAATGCAAGCCAAATCACATTAGGAAACAGCTCCATGCTTACAGTACAGTAACAGGTGCACAGTCTGCACAAGACCTTATGAATAGAGGTTGTCTGTTTGTCTTGATAGTAAAATATTAGTATTCTAAGTAAGTTTTGTATAAATGTCTCATTCTGATCTATTATTGTTGTATAAAATTGTAGTATTATTGTTGTCCCATAGACTGTATTTATGTTTGAACAAAATTGAGATTCAAGATTTCACCTGTTTAGGTTAGGTAACCCTAACCGTCACCCTACCTCTAACCATTAACCCTTGTTCAACAGTGGTTTAACATTAGAGTGTAAAGATTGGTGATATGTATCAAATACTATGTAGGCTTGGGACTATCGGTAGGACAAATAAAGTGTGACATATTACATGGTCCAAAAAGTCTTCTTAAAATCCCACACAGTCAAATACAATTCCTGCAGAATGTTGAATTACAAAAAACCACACCACTTATCTTCAAAGCAAACCAGGCAAGGTAGTGTCTTTGTGTGGAATCATTTATAAACTAAACTAAAACTAACTCATTTCATAAACTAAACTCTTCAGAACACACTGTAGTCAGTGATGGAAATAGTGCACAAAAAAGACAATCTCAGTTTAAGGTCTATGAATTTACTAAATTGAAGTTAGGATATGGATTTAGTCGGGCTACTGCTCTAACAAGAATACGTAGTGTGCATGTATCAGTGATGTTCTTTTTTGATGAGACACTGGTTAATCCAGGGATAGTAATGATATTTTATTTTATACTGATACTTTTATCTTATGACTGATATATGTAATGATCCCGTCTGAGTAACTAAACATTTCCTTATCCCACTTGTCCACTAACGTCTGACCCCCATCAGTCCAAAAGACAACCAAACTAGAAAAACTGTAGTGATTGGTTAATCCAGACATGCTCCATTCACAGACTGGCCATGTTATTTTCTGCTAATTAATTAGAGTTGAGTGTCTAAAAGAAGCTTAAAGGCTTAGCAGGCTCCCTTTCTACCACATAGTGGAGTGGTTGATTGAGGCAAGGTACATTCACCACATTTATTCAAGCAAGAGCCATGTTATTATTTTCTGTTACAAGCAGTAAGCACTTCAGCATCTAGCATTTACATTTCTATATTGTTTCATTTTTTTGATATTACCCCATGAGTTTTTTTTCTGAAAACAGAATATTTATATAAATGCATTTTCTCCTTGCACTTAATACCCAATGTTTAAAGTTCCCTCTCTGATGTCACTAACCATTGAGGAAATTTAAGAAGCATGCCCTTTATCCCAGACCCTGGTCAATCCATTCCAGTGGGTTCACTCTAATCCTGCAATAGTAGGAATTTACTGACAAGTTCACTGGCACTGAGTGACCTGTACCTGCAAACCTCTAAGTCAAGTGCAGGTTAAACATCCCTCTCCTCACTGCTGTGATGCTTACAATCAACAAGGTTATATGCTCAAAAATTCAGGAAATGCATTACTTTCCTTATATTTTCCCATGCTGCCACACCTCTTTTCAGCCTCTATCTGAGACACTTTGTATCAGCTCCTGTCTCTTTAAGGCCCCCCTCTGAAGACCAGTGCCCTGCTCTTACTGGCTAACTGGCCCACGTTATGTTAGAGGGTGTGTCAGACAAATGGATATGCATCCATTATGCAAATGTGGGCAGGAGTATCGGCCAGATATCTTAGAGAACTAAAGCTAACTGTAACCTCTAACCTGGGGCCTGTCACAAATAATAAATAAATTTTGTTGGACAATATTTTTCCCCAGAAATTATTGCAATAATTATATTATTATCATTATTATGAAGCTATTTAAAACCGCTGGTATAATGATAATATAGCATAATCATGCAAGTACACACTTTCAAAGAGCAATTTACTTAATTCTAAAGAATATACAGTCTAACATTTGAATTCGAATTAAAAGTATTAAAACATACTAAACAAATAAAACATGAAAGATTTACTGGGACAATATAACACAATGATTAAGAAGGGGCAAACAAGATACTTTTCACAACTTATTTCCGCTCACCAACATAATCAAAAAAGATTTTTAAAACTGTCGATCAGCTGTTGAATCCAGCCTCAATGCTGATTGTGAAGCTTATTTTACTGATAAAGTTGAGTCAATAAGAGAATTTATTTCCCCCAGTGCCACTTACAATGATGTGCTCGACCTATTTAACCAGTTCTATCCCATCACTCTCTCTGAACTTGTAAAAACCATGTCACACATGAGAGTGTCTTTAAGCCCCATTGATATAAGCTCCTGCTCAGAGTTACCAACAACCTCCTAATGGCTGCTGATGATGGTATGTGCTCAGTCCTGTTACTTCTGGACCTCAGTGTAACATTTGACACAGTAGACCAGAGCATTGTTTTAAACAGACTGCAGCACTGGGTGGGGAAATCTGGCGCAGCCCTGGAGTGGTTTGTCTAACCGGAGGTTCTGTGTGTCTGTTAATAACTGTCTCCTCATCTTTAACAGTTAATTATGGTGTGCCGCAGGGATCAGTCCTGGGGCCTATTATATTTTTATTGTACATGTTTTCCCCTTGGGAACATAATTCACAGGCATGGTGTCTCATTTCATATTAATGCTGACGATACGCAGTTGTGCTTAAGACACATGCTGAATTCACTCACTAACTGCCTCTGTGACATAAAAAACTGGATGTCTTCAGCTCGAACAAAACAGAGATTCTAGTCATTGGGTCCCAGCACATGGCAAAACAAATACTGCCATCTGCTGGTTCCCTATTAAACAACACAAAGCCTGTGGCATAGAATCTGGGAGTCTGGTTTGACGGAAAGCTAAGTTTTGATCCGCACACCACTAACCTTGTGCAATCCTGTTTTTATCACCTGAGAAAAATGTCTGAAATATGATCCATTCTAACTTTTAAAGACACAGAATCCATTTTACATGTTTTTATCTCATCATGGTTAGATTATTGTAACAGCCTTTTTACCTGCCTTAGCCAAAAATCTATTGATCAATTCCAGACTGCCCAATTTTTTTGATTTTAACTGATCACTTTTAAGCCCCTTCATGGCCTCGCTCCCTGCTACAGCGCTGACCTTTTAGAATCATACACACCAGTATGCACGTTGAGACCCTTGGCAAGAGGTCTCTTGTCTGTTTCACAGGCCCGGCTAAAAACTAAGGGGGACAGAGCATTTGCAGTCCAAGCCCTGAGGCTCTGGAACAACCTGCCTGAAGAGATAAGGCCAGCTGACTCAGTAAACTCTTTTAAGTCCCTTCTTTAAACACACTTATCAGAGAGCCTTTCTTGATTTTACATGAGTCTTAAATTTCTTTATAACATGCATTTTACACAGCACTTTAATCTTTAAGCACTATTGTAATGATGTAATTATAATGTATTTTACCTGTTACATCTAAACCTGATG